CCTCCTTCACCACAGCAAGCGTGCGGTGGCCGCACTACTTCTCACACCCGCCTTCTCCCTTGTGTTCACATTATTTGATTTTAACATTCGCGTCGACGTGTGATGCAACGCCTCGTCTCTTCCTCCAGGTACGTCGGCGAGGGCATGGAGGAGGGCGAGTTCTCCGAGGCACGCGAGGACTTGGCCGCCCTGGAGAAGGACTACGAGGAGGTCGGCGTGGACTCGGTGGAGGGCGAGGTGGAGGATGGCGACGAGTACTAGAGGATGCCGAAGAATCGACCGAGCCCCAGGCACATGGACGGTGCAAACCTCGGCGGCGTGGTCGGGTCCGCGGTCACGCTGTTAACGTCCAAGTGTTCTATTGTCTGTGGTCTTGCTTCTGTGTTTGGCTCCATTCAAACAGCGCGCGCGCTACACCCAGCCCACCACACTAGATGGATTACCACTGCCGCTCCCTATGGGCTCAGTACAATGGGTGATTAATTTTTCTACATTTCTATTGTTGTTGTTTTTTAAAGTAGTGATTTTAAACAGTTCGGAGGGTGTCCTGATTTGATCAGCCCGCACACTTGGAGAGTAGCCGGTGTCGTACAAACGTGGGGCTGTTAACATACTTTTAATTTTTGTTTCGCCTTACTTGATGTGATGCGTACACCTGGATAGTGCCGTTTATCTTAAGTTAATAATTTAACAACACTGTCATTGTACTAGTGTAACTTATTGGCTTTTTACTTTATTTTGAATAAAAGAGCTTGCTTTCGTGGCAAGGTCGGTTACAGAGACATCGCATGGAAGCATCCGAAATATCTTGGCATAGTTCAAACCCGATGCAGACCAGCTCTGATGTTTTAAACTGGTTTATTGACGAAAGTATCACTTGAAACAGATTTATAAAGACATAGAAGAGAACATCCATAGGTAAATGAATGGTAACTGAAAGTAAAACATTTACACGGAAACAAAAACAGTTAACAGAATCCCATCAAGAGCGAGATACAGAAACCTGATATGCACATAATATAAGATTTACCCAGCGTTAAAAACAACAAAGACACGCACAATAGAAAATAAGACATAAAATTACGTGAAAGACAAAGGCGTAAAGAAAAACGAAAAAGTTTGCAAAACAAAGCGCTGTTCGTCGTTTCGTGCAGCCAAAAGTGTGTACGGCCGTGGTGCTATATTATGGCAGATTGATGTTTCTCTTTCATCGCAGGCGATGCTATTAAAAAATGGTTGTCTATCGCCACGAGTGAGAGACCACGTCGGCCATCCTGGCGCACTTTAAGAAAATGGGGGGGGGGGGGGCTGCAGTACCACGGTGCGTCGGCAGCCTGCGGGATGCCCTGCCTGCTCCAGACTACAAAGTTTTCTCCAAAGTGGAAAAGTCCTCCATATATTGTGAAAAAAACAGCACACGGCACGCCAACAACAGAACTTTCCTTCCATATTTTCGTCTATTCCCGCTTACTTCCATTTCGGATGAGCAGTCTGCCGCCGGGCCGCCACTTGCAGGACGGTGCAGGATGAGCTTGCCGGGGGCAACCTGCCTGCTACTGCCTTGAGGTGGTCCGCATCGCACCGGCCCGAGCCGAGCCGAGCTATCTGTTCGAATCGGGGTCAGTGGAGTCGCGGGCAGAGTGTTGTGTTGATTGCACTTGGCCCCGTGGGAACGTGACGCTACGCGCCGCGACGGGCGCCGAGCCGAGCCATTCGGCGCCATTCGGCGCCATTCGGCACGAGCGAGCCGACGAGTGTTATAATGAGCCAATAATTGCTTCGCTTCGCTCCGGAGATTCCCTTTCGGCTATGAAGTCCGTCGGGCCTTGAATGGCTGTCGGAGATATGCGTGGACGCTTTCGCGACGCGCTGGGCTGGGCAGGGCAGGGCAGGCCCGCTCTACTGCAGGGCGTAGCGCCGGGCGGGAGTGCCCTTCGGCGTGCCCCTCTGGCCAGGGGGAGGGCCTCCGTGGCCGTGGCCGGGAGGGTCGTGCCGCCGCAGCACCGGCCCGTACGTCTTCACCTTGGAGTGGCCCTGGATGATGACGTACGCCGGGCCGTGCACGTTGACCGGGGTCACGGGCTGCTTGTAGTGCGCGAACAGTGGGTCGGTCGTCAGCGTGGAGACGGTGGTGACCACCTCCTTGTTGAGCAGGCCGCGCACCAGCGAGTTGATGGTGTCCGAGGGGGATGCCGTCGACGCCCCCGGGCGGGCGGTGGTCGGCGGGGACGGCAGTGCCGTGGACGTCGAGGCCGGCGTCGTGGGGCTCATCGTGGAGGGCTTAGGCGAGGGCGGTGGGGGCGGCCTCGGCTGCTGCGGCGGGGGCGGCTGGTCATCGAAGCGCAGCGGCTTCCCCGGTGGAGCGCGCACCGCGTTCGGCCCTGGGAAGGCCAGCTTTCCAGGGGTGGGCTTCCCGTCCAGCCGACTGCCGTTGGGCTTGTCCGAGGCCTGCTTGAGCGCTGGTCTGCTCGATGCTGAGTTCCCCGCGACCGCCGCGGACCAAGCTGGATTCACCGGACCCAGCAGCGGTTTCTCCACGTCCTGGACGACGACGTTGCTGGACTCTGACGCCAGGGGTGGTGGAGTGGCCCTCGGCTTGTCAAAGAAGGGGGCGGTCGCAGGGGGCAGGGGTGGCGGTGGCGCTTGGGGCGCTGGGGGCACTACCTGGGCCAGGACATTAGGCTGCGGCACCTGAGGCTGCTGCACCTGCGGCTGCAGTTGCACCAGAGGGGCCTCGAACAGCGGCTTCTCCTCGAAGAGCACGTTGGGCACGACGGGCCGGTCCTCGAAGTGGTGGAACGGGTTGAGGCTGGAGTACGCCGAGGCCGGCGGCGGCCCCTGCGGCAGTGGCCCCGGAGTCGTGGAGGTGGCCGGCGGCGGCGGTGGTGGCGGCGGCGGAGGCACCAGCATGGTGGGTGGCACCGGCACAGAGCTGTCCACGTACTTGACGAAGGCCTCGTCCCTGCGTGCGCCGCTGTCCTTGGGCTCCATCCAGTAGTGCACGCGGTCCAGCACGGGCGGCACGTAGTCGTACGTGGGGTCGTTCTTGAGCGGGTCGCCGTGGCCGAGCGGGGTCCACTCGTCGTAGTCCATGCGCGGGCCCGGGACGAGCCCCATGGGCCCCGGCACCAGCACCCTGCTCAGCGCCCCCCGCCCGGAAGCTAGAACACACGAGGAGCACGGTTAGACGTATATCATGTTTTTTTTTAGTTTCCTGCAGACCCACTGTAAATCCGGGGTGTCCAGCAGGTAGGCGGCAAAGTTGCCTAGCCCCCAAAACTAGGCGACTTATGTCGACTACCTGATGGGCACCATCTGGTCTTCCAAGACCAAAATAGCCAGAAAATAAACATCCGAAAATGTCGGTAAAAGCTTAGGTGCACCCCTCGCTTAAAGAGTTTAACCTCCGCCCCATCCGACCGCGCAGCGCTCTGTGTCTCGCCGCGGCCGGCCCCGTCTGCATAAATAATCGCGATAAGTAGGAGATAAATTACTCCGGGCCCGGAGCCCCGCGGGAGCCCCGGCGGTAGCCTCCGCGTGCGTCTGTATCGGCATAACGAGTTGCAATGCTCCGCGCTGCCATACACTGCACCAGCTCGTGTCGTCTCGACTGTTGCCGCAACTACTTTTTCTCCCGTTTCCTTGGCGCGCTATCTTCTTGCTGTGTTTGCGCCCGGCACGCATATGTGCGGCCCCATATGAGATAGTTTCTCATTCTCACCTTCCGCGACCGCGGCGAGCAGCGAGAGGGTGAGGGGGCCCAGGGGGCCCAGGCGGCCCAGGGGGCTCGGGGGCCCCGGCATGGCGCCCGCCAGCCCGCGGCTCGCCACCCAGCTGCACAGCAACAGGAGCGCCGCGGACATCTGCAACACAAAGTAACAACTTTCTTTACTTCACATGGCGAGCTAGCGTGCGCGGCGGCGTGTGTGTGTGTCCAGCCTCCATTCGTTCGCCCTGAGGTTCGCCCGGTTGACCAGTCCTCCCGTCCAACTGTTTCAGCCGCACAAGTTACTATCTCCGGCATAATTCAAACCAATCCCGACACATTTCTAAAATTTTCTCTCCTGTTCAGTGCAGACAAATGAACGTGGAGACAGGGTACAGGGGGGGGGGGGACTTGGCGACACGATCCTCGTCGGTCGCTACTTCAGTCGCCGCGGCTGCGATCCCTCCCGCACCTCCCCTCCCCGCTCCCGCAACATTCTGGAGACACTGAGAAGGTCAGCGAATAGAGATCCCCCCGCGGGGATCCACTTCCCACCACGCGGGGGCCTCCGAGGACCGCCCTGTAGGCGCTGCGCGGCGCGGTGCGGCGCTGTGACACACGGTAATGTACGCCTCGTGTGGAGCGGCCGCCCGCCCCCCGGGGGGCAGCCCAGGCGGTAGCCCAGGCGGTAGCCCAGGCGGCAGGCGGGCGAGCCGGGGACCGGGACCCCAAACCCGTCAAAGAATCACAAACGTACGAACTTATGGGTATCCGCGCTAAAGTTTAGCACGATGGGGATCCGAAAATGAAGCCTTGGTGAATTACTGCTTTTGCCGACCGCGGCGGGCTCAGATGTCGAGAGGAAGTCTGTTGCAGAGAAGTTGAGGTAGGGGAGATGGGGGAAAGGAGGGGGAAGTGTGTGTGTGTTGTGGCGCGTGAGCACGGGAAGACGTGGGTCCAATCCGGTCCCTAATCTCGGGTCGGAGCTGGTCCGATCGGGCGAAGAGAGAGGGGGACGGCGCAGGGGAGCTGCGAGCTGTATCATGGTGTCAAGGGCCCGCGAGTTTTGAGCCCCGCCTTCCCCTTCCTCTCCTCTGGCCCTCTTCTCCTTCCTTCCTTCCTTCTCAAATCCGCCCGTCCTTTCTTTCTGTTGCTTTCCTGCCGCTCCCACGTGCGGGTGGACCGCGGGTGAGGATGGGCGGGGCGGGGCGGGGCGGGTGCGTTGGGCGGTTGGGTTAGCGCCTGCGGAGTCAGGATAGGCAGCCCCGCACGGCGGCCGTGTTCGGCAGGCCTGCCTCCCCACCCGGCGCTCCTCGGGGACGGCTGCCTGACTGGCCTGACTGACTATGACCGCCCGGCCGCGCCCCGCCTACGCACCTCGCACCGCAACGCCGTCCACCTGGCTCGAGGAATGGCCCGCGTCAGCTCTACGTCCTCGCCCACTGCTGACAAGAGCGGGCTGCGGACCCCGGCCACTCCCTGCTGCCCTATGGAGCGATGAGCCGAGCTAACCCGTCGAACCCAAACAGCCCGGCGACATGAACGTGTGTGTGTGAGGAGGAGAGAGGAGGGGAGGGGGGGGGCAGGTGAAATGTTCCTGCTGCCCTCACAAGCGGCGGCGCTCGGCGGCCTGGATGTGGAAGTGGGAGGCGGCGGACAGACATGGGAGCCAGAAGAGGAGTGGGAGAGAGGAGGTATAGAGGAGGAGGTTGGAGGAGGAGGGGTGCGAGTTGGCCCAGACAGCGAGGCGCCTCCGACGTTTGTGCGTGCGTGTGGGGGCCGAGAGAGCGAGCGAGAGAAAAAGAGAGAGAGAGAAAGAGAGAGAGAGAGAAGGAGAGAGAGAAAACACATCAGTGCTGACCGGTGCTGGCTGGGATTCGCTATACTTACATCAAAAAAGTTGAACTAACGTCGCCTTAATGAAATCTGGCGGCTATATTAGATTATACTCTTTATTGATTTTATGCAAAATTGGCAAAAGAAGAGCCCTAAGAAAGCGCAACAAAAGAGCAATAATCCGGGGTGTTTGACGCCCTCCGCGAATAAAAGCCGCTTTCATTAACAAGCTCCTCGGGCCTCGGGCGGCGCGGCCCACCGACCCATTAAGCATTTAAAGACTTCCACTTTGTTTTGGGAGGTCCGGGGCAGGGTGGGGCGTGTCGTCACATACCCCTGCATCGCTATGCCCTCACGGGGTCAGTGCATGGTAGGCGTAGCTATGTCACGTTTTAACGAATGTGATATGATGTTCGATATAATGTGACACAATGCACAGAATGTAGAATGTAACGTCGCAGTGTTTCAATTACAGCGATTTAAAAAAGTTGTACGAGTTGTACACATTTTGCTATGGACCTAGGCTGCGATTGGTATTTCCAACGCCTGTGGTTGGTCGGGGTGATCGTTTTGTCGGCTGCGGTGGCGCCGGGTTTTGAGGTGGTGGTAGAAACGACGGCAGATGTGGCGTTGGGCGAAGGGCGAACACGATGGATCGTTTCCT